AACTCAATAAATAATAGAACTTATGGGGTAGTGCCTAGTAATATTGAGGTGAATCCAAAAGATTAAAATTTAGAGCAGTGCAAGATAGTGGGGTGAGCACTGGAGAAGAAAGGGGAGCGAGCCATAAGAATGAGAGTGCCCCTATAAAGTCCAACGTAGGAAAAGTTGGCTTTGTCATACAAATATACTAAACTGAGAAACTTCCACCTCTTTTTCTCAGAGGCTGCAAAAGACTGACAAAGATCCGGGTAGTTTCATTATTCCTTCCTCTATAAGAACCGAGTTTCACATGCAAGCACTTTGTGACTTAGGAGCCAGTGCCAACCTCACGCCTCTAGATATTGTTAAGCAACTTGAAGAGAAGAAATTAATTCAATTGATCTGATACAACAATTAGCAGATCAAATTGTTACTCATCCCTTAAGAATTGTTGAATACTTGCCTTTCACAACAGACATGCTCACCTTTCTTATTAATTTTGTGATATTGGATCTTAAAGATGATAAAGAAATGCGAGTTTTTGAGACTTTTTCTAGCTATAATTAGGGCTATTGCTAATCTCTAGAAGGGGAGGATAATTTGAGATAAAATGATCAAAAAGTTACATTTGATATTTTAAAAGCACGAAACCTTTCCCAAGCCTCTAAGAGTAACACCCCATAAAGTAACCAACATACATGAATCTGTTGTACTATATATCATGGTGATTCGAGTGGCTATTATTTCTAAGAAGTTAAATAATCTGAGGATTTATTCCATGCAAGGACTCTCACCCAATGATGAATTGATGAATGGACCGATGGTAGATTCGAACAATTTAATCTTAGAGTTTTGTGAATGCAATTGGAAATCATGGTCGTAATCCATATTCAAACACCCACAACCCCGGGTGGAAAAATGACATTAATTATCAATGGAACAACAATCACCAACAATGGGGAAATCCACAAAACAATGTTGTAGTTAACTGACCAAACAAAGGAAATAACCCCTGGAGGCAGCAGCACCCATTAGGATTCCAAGCTAATTCCCAACCTGCCCAAAAAAAGTCACCAATTAAAGAGTCGGTGATTCAAACGGGGAGTACATTATAGAGCCAATATGTAACCATAAAAAATTTTTGAAACTCAATTAGGACAACTAAAAAACTCAATAAATAATAGAACTTATGGGGTAGTGCCTAGTAATATTGAGGTGAATCCAAAAGATTAAAATTTAGAGCAGTGCAAGATAGTGGGGTGAGCACTGGAGAAGAAAGGGGAGCGAGCCATAAGAATGAGAGTGCCCCTATAAAGTCCAACGTAGGAAAAGTTGGCTTTGTCATACAAATATACTAAACTGAGAAACTTCCACCTCTTTTTCTCAGAGGCTGCAAAAGACTGACAAAGATCCGGGTAGTTTCATTATTCCTTACTCTATAAGAACCGAGTTTCACGTGCAAGCACTTTGTGACTTAGGAGCCAGTGCCAGCCTCACGCCTCTAGATATTTTTAAGCAACTTGAAGAGAAGAAATTAATTCAATTGATCTGATACAGCAATTAGCAGATCAAACTATTACTCATCCCTTAAGAATTGTTGAATACTTGCCTTTCACAACAGACATGCTCACCTTTCTTATTAATTTTGTGATATTGGATCTTAAAGATGATAAAGAAATGCGAGTTTTTGAGACTTTTTCTAGCTATAATTAGGGCTATTGCTAATCTCCAGAAGGGGAGGATAATTTGAGATAAAAATGATCAAAACTAGAAAGTAGAAGTGGTAGTGCTGGTAGTACAAAGATAATCTTTTGGATCAGGTGCAGTGACTCTTGAAGAGAAAATGATAGTAGATGACTTTTTGGATAATTTCATTAATGATAATGTTGCTCTTTCCTTAGATGAAGTCCAACCACTAGACCAAGACTTGTTAGGAGAACAATGCAATTTGCCCATGGTGAACATTAATGATTATTTGATTGAAAATGAGAGGTTACTGCAAAACCTCAATTTGGGGATAAGGCATGATTGGTATGTATGGGAAGAATATGAGAGATTAACAACTTTTGAGGATGTAGGAGAGGATCAAGGACAACCTGAATTTGAGAGGAGTGATTGAGAATTACTGAATTGGCAATTTGGTCATGGAGACCAAGTTTAGGATAGATTTAGGAGACTTCATCTGGCTGAGAATATTAAACCAAGCGTTATCTTGGGAGGTAACACTAGCGTTATCTATTGTTTTGAGGATGACTTTTCTTTCTGCAGTTGTTTCAAAATTTGTTTTGAAATTTACTTTGAAATTGTTTTGAAATTTGCTTTAAAATTTCATTTAGATTAGTTTTGCATCTTGTCCCTCTGCAGAGCGATTAGTTCCTAAGGGTGAGGTAGGACATGAGAACGCTGATTTTTTCATCTGCTACATTTTTTGTACATTTTTTTATTTATGCACTGTTACACATTTTACATAGTGTACTCAAAGATAATTGGACTAATACATTTATTTTTCCTGCACTTATTTGCTTTTAAATTTACGACCACTTCATGCTATTTATGTGTTCGGAAAATGCAAGTTTGGGAGAGAGATGTGTACTTTTTTACAAACCTTAAAGCGGTTCACATAACCCAGAAAGAGATTCAATATTCACAGGATAACTCTCTTCGATCATGCACAATGCCTAAGTATGCCTTAAGGTCAATATCTAGATCTATACTTAAATAAGAGTTGAGGTGCTTTGAAGAGATTAAAACTGGCCAATTTTATTAAATTGGCTTAGTTGTATTTTTAAGGTATTAAGAGTTGCTACAATATTACTTTAGTTGAATATAATAAATCTTATCCATATAGAAGATGTTTTATTATGAATCTAATCTTGATCGTATTAGTTCTCTAATATATATTAAATACTTTCTATGCTTATGTGCATGTTTGTATGCATAATGTGGTTGCTTATGAATATGATAACATATAATTGCATTAATAAATAATGAAAAACATCATATTGTAAATTGCTTTATAATAAATAAAATTTTTAATCATTGATTTCATGTATTGTTGTCGTAATGTAGTGGTGACATGACATTTCTTATATTGATGTTACATTTGTTTATATTGTAATGCCAAAACATTGTTATTTACATTTTAACAAATCATGAGTTTGAGAACTATCACTATGTAACAAACCTTCAATAATATAAATTTTGTTAATTTGACGATTAAACATAAGTTGTAATTTTTTATTTAATTTAGAGGTTCCTATTACTGATATTGAAATACTAAGGCGGTGTTTGGCAGCATCATTTAATTTGATTAAACTATTGATTTAACTTTAATCCAGTGAAATAAAAAATAAAACTTAAATTGTATAGCTTTCGGTCTCTTTTACAACATAAATCTGGATTTAATAAAGTCAATTGAGAAGCAGATTACTTATTTTATTCCACTGTCGCTCGTGAGGTTCATCTCCGTCAACACAATGATCGAATTTACCAGATTTGATAAATCTTATTTAACTTAAATCTATATTTCAGGCATCCACCGCCTAAAGACTATTTTGGATTTAAAAAAAAAAAAATGTTTGGGATTAATTTTATTTTATTTTCTATATGTTTTATTTTAAAATAAAATATGTTCAATATGTTTAATTAGGATATGTCAATTTTTAAAACACTCAAAATTCATAATATTTTGAGTAATTTTTTTAAAAAATAAAAACCTGTAAAAAATATATTAAATAAATTTTTTTTAAATAAAGCCAAAAAAAAAAAAGAAAAATCAAAGGAGTCCTACTCATTCAAATGATTTCCAACATTTCGGGAGATACATCAACTATACTTGATCGATTTTATTAACTATAATTTGCTCTCATTAAGAGTATGACACGATGCCTTATTTATTTTATATTAAAATTACTATTAATTTGATTATTGCACATAGTGTTGTCAAAAGTACTCGTTGTGCGTTAACAGCCTGTGTTCAGCTCTGTTCGATTTGTTCGTTAAGTTAACGAGTCAAACACAAACAAATATTTGTTCATTGGTGCTCTACTAGTTTTGGCTAAGAAAAACCACTCATATATATATATATACATATATTGATGAGTATTTTTTTCTTAAAATTTAATTGACTACAAGACTACAAAATTTATAATCAATTAAATTTATTTATTAAGAAATATAATAAAATATATTAAATTACATTTAACTAATGTTTTAATATAAATAATAAGATTTAAATAATGTGGCAACCCTTAATATCCAACAACTGTTTAATTAGGGTTGTCAAAATGATTTTTTATTCTCAAACTCGCTAAATAAATGAGTCGAATATGAACACAATTTTTATGTTCGAAATATAAATGAATCGAACTTAAAGATTGATATGATTTAAAAGAAAAATTATTTCATACGCACGGTGTATGAATACGTAGTTCGATCTCAACCGTAGATCATGGGAAAATATATTTCGGTGGGCTTCAAATTTTTTTTTTTTAAAACCACCAAAATACATTTTCCCCTAATAAGATATGAAATAATTTTTCTTTAATTTTCTTTTTAAAGAGCCACTTTACACCCCTAAAACAAACCTTCAATAATATAAATTTTGTTAATTTGACGATTAAACATAAGTTGTAATTTTTTATTTAATTTAGAGGTTCCTATTACTGATATTGAAATACTAAGGCGGTGTTTGGCAGCATCATTTAATTTGATTAAACTATTGATTTAACTT